CTTATCAAATTAACATTGTGTATTGCATGCTGGTTTATTTTTCTTGTCATTTTTGCATGGGCCTTGTGTAAACTAGCTATCACAGGGACAACGCGCTTTTAAAGAGTACAAGAACGCAAAACCATGTTCATGTACCGTTTAAATACGAGGCCTTATTCATATTTTCACTAGTAATCATTGAGGGAGTAATTCTATGGTTCTACTGCGATCTCCCCACTCAGAGTTGTAATATATAACATAGCCACGGAACCCGAGGAGCTCGAACACTATCAGCTCGAAAATCTAGAAGCATACTTCTATGGTAATGTTGAACTCTGAAGAGAGTTCAAAAGGGGGAATTGTGGATGAAATGTATTCATGTGTTCGTATTTTATAGAAGTATGCAACATATATAATCATGTTTTATAATAGAATAAATAATCATAAGAGATGTGCTTAAACATATAACCAGCTTGAACATAAAATGCTGCTTAAAGCTAGAACTGAAAACATGCAGATGTAGAGAAGGAGCTGCGAGGTTGAGATAAAACCAAGGTTGGTTGTGAAAAGAGGAGTACTTGGTGTGGTGGGAAACAAACTTTTAGAATAACAATTTGACAATGGCTGGATTCATAGTTAGAACACAAGGCCCCAACAACAGCACCTGGGCGCGATAAGAACGGGATGAGAAACTAACGGTGTAGATACAGTTGCCAAAAAGAATGTATGACTGTGTGCAGAACAAATGAAGTCTGTATTGCTTGATATGTACCACCCCTGGATATGTGTGTCAATAAAACGAGCCTGAGTTTGTGGAGAGAGCAGGATTCAGCAGTCAACCCCCTGACTCGCCGCTGGACTCTCCCTGTGCACAGGCGAACTCGAGCAACGACTTTTGTCTTTTCTTTATACTTTGTGAAAGTTCTTGATCAACGAATCCGGGGTGGTAAAACCTTACCACAACATGACCAACTTTGTCAGTAAGGTGTAGGACGCTAATGCGGTGGGGAGGGAGGGAATCAAACAAGAAGAAACCGAGCAATCACATGTTCAAAGGAACAGTTGTAACAAGTTTGGCGGAAGCGGATGTACTGTGCAGTGTACTATCCCGTATCTTCAGACTCCTCGGCTCAACGCCGCTGGTCTTGACCAATGAGCGGAGACGTCGCTCCATTCTCTGGTAGGCTGGAGTTCGCGGGGAATGGACAGTATTAGTGATGGGAAGACCAACTCTTTTTACTAATTTGAATCTTTGACTCTCGAACAGTAAAATGAACGGGTTGTGAACGAATCTTGAACTAATCATTTCATTTGGTTTACAGCAGGTGGCGATTTAGCCGTATTGTGGGCGTTGTAAAGAACGCTGCGGTTTTCCGACACTAAATACTGAAGGCAACATGATTTGCTTTCGCTGACAAAGTCTACAAACTAAAGTACACAAAATGCCATAAGCAATTAACAAATGTGAAAACATCAGTAAGAAAAACACACCACAACGTGAAGATAAATTAGAGCAAAATAGACCCGAGCTCTCTGTCACGTGACAAATGAAACGAATCTGCGAGAATGAAGCGAAAAATTAGTTCACAGAGTGATTCGTTCATAGTGATTAGTTCACAGCGAAAGATTAGTTCACAGTGAAACATTAGTTCACAGAGAGTGATTCGTTTGCAATAAAAGATTAGTTCACAGTGGAAGATTAGTGTGCAGCGTAATTGGTTCGTAGTGAAATATTAGTTCACAGTCAAAGATAGTTCATGATGACAGATTTGTTCCCAGTGAATGCTTAGTGAGTTCAATAAGAACAACCCTTTCATATGCCGGGAGTAACGAGTCACGAATCTTTCATATGATTCGGGAGTCACGAGTCATATGAAAAATTCGTTTTGAACGAATCACTCACGAACAACCCATCACTAGACTGTATGTCTGGGTGCTTTGAGCGGAAGTAGACTTCTGTATCATTCCTTACTCTGACATGTTATGACATTTTTTCATATTCATTCGTAGCAACCTGTTGATGTTTCATAAGGCGTAGTCACATGACAAAAGCACCGTCTTTTACCAGAGCACTGCTTTCTACTCGCGCTGCTATGCTAACACAGTTTCTCTAGCTCGGCTTCCACATTGGCTAACAATAGCACCGCTTCATGCGAACAGAGACAACACTGGTCACTAGAGATAGACAAAGGGGCTACTGCAGTCAGACATTGCAGAGACATGAGTGTGTTCAATTTAGACCGGTTTCGTTTCGACAAAAATGTGACGACGGCAGCAAACAAAGAACAGGGCCACGGTTCCAAAAGTCCGGAGTCAGAGAAGGAGAACAAACCAGGTATGACCCGCTGTCGGAACTGCCTGCCATGACTGTAGGCAAATGTGACAGTACTCATTGTTAACATATAGCACCTTACGCCGCCATGTTTTTATAGTAACTCCACCTCGTGTGCTGCAACTGTGGTCATTTAATCATGGAACTTCATTTTCAGTCATTTAACATAATGATCTCCGTCGTGTTACAGCTCTTAATTTAGGGGTCTGTTCTTGTGGGTTAGTGTACATCAGTGTTGTGTGTATTGTTGACGTTCAAAAAACATATTACTGTTTAAAGGCCGCAGGCGGATCACTTAAATGCCATCATTGCTATTGTAGCCGTTGTTGTTAAGTGCAAAAGTGTAAGTTCAAAGTCAGTTTTACTGTCAATTTCACCCTATAAGCCTCACGGTGCAACAATAGCAAAATTTAAAGAATATAGACATGGTAAACATCAAGCAAAATTAAATAAAAAGCGATAAGCACTGAAAAAAGCAACAACACACTGAAGATGAAAGTGATGAATGGTGGTAGATGATAGATATTATGTTTATGACAAGTAGAACAATTTGTCTGATCTGTTCTTTTCTCCCCTTGGTGTAAGAATCTTGTACCTAGGATCCCTTTTAGAACAACTTTAAGTTAAAAAGATAAGTGCCCGTGTTACTTAATAAAAAATCGAATCACCTCTACCTGTGATGTTTCAATTGTTTTGGTGGCTATAAAAGGCATTAATGGGAGGGTGTCATTGCAGTCAGTTTTTTTGTTTTTTTTTTGTTTACATTATATATTAGTGATCATAGCCCTAGTGGTTTCTTTGTTAATGTGTTTTAGACTGTAATACATTCCCCAGAATCACCAGCCAGCAATTGAAAAGCATCATAAGGACACTCAACATAAGAGCATTAGCAAACTTAGAAATTGTTCAAATTGCAGGAGCTGTTTTTTTTAATCTCCCATTATCAGTTATTGCCAGAGTTACAGTAAATCCATTAATGTGAAATAATATCTAAAAATAATATTTTCAGAAAAAATGAAATCCAACAAGGCCCCACCAAAGAACAGAGGAGTGGTCTTTGAGGATGTACTTTCTGTTGACTCAGAGGACGAAGATCCATCACCACCTAAGATCAAAATTGCTCCAAAAAAAAGATTTGTGTAAGTTTGTGTCTCATAAAAACGTATATGTTAGAACTGATTTATAGCTGTGACTCATTCGTAGGCTTCAGGTCTTTTTTTATATTTTACCAGAAATCCAAAACTGAAGCTATCCATTCACACAATATTAGACGATGGAGACAATGAAATGGACAATAAAATAAACCAGCTTCTGGAGATGTTTCCAAGGTTGACAAGGACTCAGGTTCTGAAGGTGAAACCTAACTTTCATTCAAAGCTACAAATTAAGAGTCTCTCAGAGTTTCTATGTATTAATGACTTGATAATGGTTATTTTTTCATTTTCTGTCACTCAGTCACTCATTATGACTTGCACTCTCTTTCAGGTTATTAAAAGCACAAGCACATTAGATGGAGCTGTTGCTGCCTGTCTTTTGGAGTATGGTGATAAAGAAGGTAATTAACATTCTTGAAATGACTGAGAAACATTTATTTTATTTTAATTTAATTCATTTTCTGGGGAAAAGAGAAGAATTAAAAATTGAAGGGTGACGGTATGAGGGATTCTTTGGCTGTATTTTGATTGTAGAATGAGATGGTATAAAGTAATTTGGTGCATTTGATACTATTGGTGTGTTTTGTGTTCTCTGCTTCAGAACCAAACAAGAAGAGAAAGGTGGATGAATGTTGTAACTCACAGGATGGTGGTGAAGATCATCCTAGGAAAAAGAGGAAACTGTTATTGTTAAGATCACGTACATCAACAGAGGTTGTGAATTACCCTGAAGTTGAAGCTAATTTAATTTTTTGTACTAAAATGTGTCAGTCCAGTTTTGATAAATTAACAGTAAAATGAGAACATTGCATCGAATTTCTTTGTCATTGCCTCAGCAGTCGATTAACTCTTCACCTTTCATTGGTAAGTTCTCGGAGGAAGAAGAAGGAGATGATGATGATTGTTATGATGACAATGAAGAAAAAGAGCCAAGTTGGGAGAAGCAGGAGGCCATGGTGAGGAGGCTACAAAGAAAGTTTCCTGATCAGGACAAGGAGGTACAAACCTATAGACACTTTGTTGCCATTTGTGACACTTTTATTCAGTTTGTTTTTATTTAGCCATTTATATAGAACATATATTCTCACTTTCTGCATGTGGTAGTGGTTAAAGATTGGGCTTGTAATCAAGATTCAAATCCCAGTTTTGGTAAGGAGCATTACTAATAGCTGGTGTGTGTGGTGTTTATCACTGGTGCTTTAAACAGATGTTTTAAATGCAGGGATTAGTTCCCCTATAAGAATGAATGTTGAACAAAAAATGTCATTAAAAAATGGGTTAACATAAGCTAATTTATGTTTAAACAATTAAGTCTTAATTAAGTAAATTATGTGATATTTCAATGTAATAGAGGGTATGTAATAGAGTTTGCACAATAATAGTCAACTTGAAGACAAACATCTTTTTGCTTTGATGGATTTGTGTTTGAGCTTTGACTTCTCATGTCTGTGCAGGAGTTGCGTATGGTGCTGCAAGAACACAACTGGGACGATGAAGAGGCTCTGCAGGTGCTGCAGATGTTCTCTGACCCAGGTAAGACTACAACTGGTACACAGCCACCTTCTCACTAATTTCCAATTTACTTTACATCTAACTGGTTCAATATTTTCCTTGTGATGTTTTTCTTCAGTTAGTAGCAGTTTCCCTGACTCAAAAGAAGTAACTTCCAACAAATTAAAGCACAAAGACAAGTCAAACAGGACACACAAAAAAAGGCACAAGCATGTTGAAGAGGTCCTAACCATCAGTGAAACATCTCAAAATCTGGACAGTGCCAACGATTCAGAAGCTACAAAACAAAGTGAAAATGAATCAGATGTTGAAGTCACATCTAAAGCTTCAACACTGTCCACGTGGCTTCAAAAAGAATCAAAACCTGTGTCTTCATCCTCATCTGTCAAGAAAGAATATAATTCTACCTCGGAAAAAAAAAAATCCTCTTCTGCTGCTCCCCAGATGTTATCAAGGTTTGCTAGTGGCACTAGTTTAGCTAAGAAACAAGCAGCAGAAATTAAGAGAAAGGCACGTGCCATGAAAGAACATGTCAGCTCTGAGGGGGAAAGTGATGGAGGGGAGGACACTGCGAGCAGTGAGTTTGATGAGTCAGACAATGAACTGGATTCTAACAGTGCCATGACTGGCATTAAGGAGAAGGTGCTAGAGTTTTTCATGGACGCATCGCTGGATGAGCTGTCGCAGATCTCTGGCTGTTCTGCCAAGAAAGCCAGCAGAATCATAGAGATGAGACCCTTCAAAAAGTGGCAAACACTGGTGAGATTGCTTTCTTTAAACAGACAATACATACGATACATAAAAATTACAGAAGACCAACGTGCGAAAATTCCTGAGATTAAGCTGCAAAATTTCGTCAGTAGATACTGTATATCATCAATAACTGTTTTAGACAATTTCTCAATAAACTTTAGTGAGTGTGAAATAAATACTTATATTATACATATACAGTACATATTTCCGAAACCAGCGACAATTTTTGATTACATTTATTTGCAAATTTAATAACCGTCCATGATGGTTGATAATTTAACTTACAGTCTTTTTCGGTTTGACAAAACAACTGTTCTGCTATGGTAATTATTTTTTTACTAAACCATGTAAGTTTTTTTTTCTGTCTCTAGCTTACACGGATTCGATTGGCATATTCACGTCACATGAGGAGAAGGAAATTATTTGATCGTATGAGCCAAATAAGCTGCACCAACTAATATAGAGGCACTCAAGTAAAAATTGACCAAACCTTGATATTCCAGTAGTTACAGCTTGTCCAGACAGTGAATGTAACACCTTTATGCTTATGAAAAATCTGTCAAACTTCTCTTTGCAATAATTACTGAAAAAAAGATCATTAACCTCAATCAGGGTTTCTTAGTTTGATATAGTTTAAATTAAAAGAATCTGCGATTTTGTCTATTTTAATGCCATTCATTGGTTATAGTAAATGCAGCAGCAGTTCCTGCATTATAGTAAACAGCATGAACTTTTGCAGATCATCTAGATTGGTTTATTTATTTTATTAATTATGTGCAATTATGGCTATTAAAATAGTTGCATCATATGCAGTTTAACAGGTGTTCCTAATAATGTCGAAAAAAATAATGACCAAAGTGGATTCGTCTATTATACAACTTTTAACCTGTCTTACTTTATCTTCAGGTGGAAATCCTTCAGAAAGAGAATGGACTCTCTGAGCATTTACTTGTTGGCTGCAAACATTTCCTCAAAGAGCGAAAAGTAGTCCTAGGGCTTATGTCCAAATGTGAGACTATTTCCTCCAAAATGGTCAAGCAGGTGACCACAGTGATGGAGAGTGGCACAGGAGCCAACAAACAGCCCAGTTTACTCAACAGCCAGTGAGATACACCTCTACTCAGTTTATTATTATTTTACAAATGGTTCTTTAAAAAGCTTTACTAAGGTGCAACTGTCTGATAGTGCTGTATAAATCTCTTTTCAGGTGTGGTTGATATTTTTGCACAACCCACCAAAAACCTTTTTGAATCAAATTATATAGCTTTAAATTATAGTGTTCTTGCCACATTGTTGTTTTTTTCATATTGTGTTTCTTACTTAAACTTGGACCAAGCAGATACACTGTGTTAATCAACTATCGTTTTTGTTTCAGGCTCCAGTTGAAACCTTATCAGCTGATTGGGCTGAAGTGGCTGCTGCTGCTGCACGAGCATAAACTGAGTGGAATCCTGGCTGATGAAATGGTTAGAGGACAAATCATGTTGACATTTGAGGAAAGGGGGGGTACTAAGTTAAAGACCCTGTTATCTTAGTGTGTCTGCCCTTTATGTACACTTGCTTATTGTTTTGTATCTGGCTGACAATTTATCTGGTCTTTCTTCACTTCCTTCGATCTTCTCAGGGTTTGGGTAAAACAATCCAAGCTATATCCTTTTTGGCCCAGTTGTATGAGAATGGAATAGAGGGACCTCATCTCATCACTGTGCCATCATCTACACTGGGTAATGGTCAAATCACACGCTCTACTAGTTTACAGTTTCTTTTGTTAGTTTGTTACTGAAATAATAAAAAAATAAAGGATGGTATGAATTGTAGCAGAATTTACAATTAAATCTGCAGCAGTGTAGAAAATGATTGATCGGCTTGTATATATTATTATTTTTTGCATTTACATTTTTATAGAACATCTGTGAACTATTTTTATTATTGTCCCAAATATATTAAACAACAAAGTCTCATTCTTATAATCAGTATTGTTCATAAATAAAAACACAATTTGCTGCAGTGTAATGATAAATAAACAATTTCTGAGTCTGATTTTCTTTTCTCTTTTAAAAGATAACTGGGTCAGAGAGCTGAAGTTATGGTGTCCAAGACTTAGTGTTTTAGTATACTATGGTAAGTCAGCAGCAGTAGATTTAATGTTGTGTTCTCTCAATTTAAGCTGAATGTGTTTATATACAGAACTAGAAAATCTACCAACTTGGGGGAGAAGAGTTGATTTCAGGCAGAATTTATTCTTCTGTTCAGGATCAGTAGAAGACCGCCGCTACCTCAGACACGATATCCTCAGTGGAATGACCGACGTCAATGTCATAGTCACCACGTGAGCCTCAGTGCTGGTGATCACATTCTTTACCTGTGAAGTTAATTTCAAAGACTAAGCCTTTTTGCTTTGTTTTTCAGGTATAACTTAGCTATAGGAAATGACAACGATCGCAGCCTTTTCAGAAAGATGAGACTGAAGTATGCTGTGTTTGATGAGGGCCACATGCTGAAAAACATGAGTACCCTACGCTACCGCCACCTAATGTCCATAAACGTTAGTTCTTGGGGGGGGGGGGGGGAGTACATTATTTTCCCATACCTGCCAAGCTATCCTCTACATTTGGAGTTTCAAATCTTTTCTTCCGGACTTTCTTTTAGGCGGAGCATCGCTTGCTGCTAACAGGAACTCCATTACAGAACAACCTCTTAGAGCTCATGTCTCTCTTGAACTTCATCATGCCCTCAATGTTCTCCAGCTCCACTACACAGCTCACAAAAATGTTTTCTATGGTAAGTGAGTAAATGAATCTCACATATTCCTGGGTAACTAGCAATTAAGGCAGACTACTAACTGAAACCACAACCCTGTCTCCTCTTTAAATATACTGTATGATAAATTACACTAGTGTATTTTTGTAGCTTAAAACTATCACATTACTGACACAATAAAATCTTAAACTTCCCTTTTACTTGTCTTGATTGTTTCCTAAGTATTATGGACAAATATATCAATGGAGGATACCTTTTTGTTGCAGGATAAATAATCTGGTATTTCCACATTTAAGAACATTCAAGAATTATTTTGTGTTGTGTGTCAGAGATCTCAGGTGGAGAGCCGTTTTGAGAGAGATCGAATATCTCAGGCCAAACTTATCATGAAGCCCTTTATACTCAGAAGAGTCAAGTGTGAGGTGAGTTGTTCAGGATTTGGTATTTTTGTGTTATGTGAAGGTAATTTATTCTGATGTGGAGCTGCCTATTAAATATACTAAAGAACTATTTGCTAAATGTATAATATCAAGTAAATATTTACCTTGCATATTTTTTCCAAAAATGTTACATTGTTTTTCCCCAGTTTATGCCACCTAGTCAACAACAGTTTGAATTATTTACTCATGAACTAAATTCTGGTTCTCAAAATTGATGGTGTTTCCTTTACGTTTTACAGGTCTTAAAGCAGCTACCAGCTAAAGAAGAGAAAGTGGAGTACTGTTCAATGAGTGAGAAACAGCAGGTGCTGTACGACAAGCTCTTAAAAAAACTCAAGTCGTCCACCACTGGCGAGAGTGAGTCTGATTTAGATGACAACTTTCTCTTATGTATCAGATTCTCTGTATCACATGTGTAAATGTGTTTAATCATTTCTTTCTGAATGTTTTTTTTAAACACAGATCGTGAGTTGTGTAATGTGATGATGCAGCTTAGAAAGATGGCCAACCACCCACTACTTCACAGACAGTACTACAATACAGAGAAGCTGAAAGCCATGAGCAAACTCATGCTGAAGGTCAGTCCTGCTACCATTGACTTTTTTTTTCTTATTTATTCTTGATCCAAAAGTAAAAGACTGGAATTAAATTATGTGTTTTATCTGAGGATTTTGTCCAAACAAATCTTTTTAGTCATAAGGTTTATATACCTCCTCAGGAACCAAGTCACTACGATGCAGATGCTGCTCTCATCCAGGAAGACATGGAGGTGATGTCAGACTTTGAGCTTCATGGCCTGTGCAAACAGTACAGCTCCATCAACTCCTATCAACTGGAAAAGGACATCCTGCTGGACTCTGGGAAATTCCACTACCTCACAGAGCTGCTGGCCTCTCTCAAAGAAAAGGTACATACAAACCGTGCAGACAGAAGAATACACTGCACATATGAAGGAGGACATGCAGTATAACCATACTTAAACCCCACAGGGGGACAGAGTGGTGCTCTTCAGTCAGTTCACCATGATGCTGGACATTGTGGAAGTGCTGCTGAAACAACTCAAGCATCGTTACGTCAGGTTGGATGGATCCACACCCATAGCTGACAGGTCAGAGATGGGTTTAGTTCATGGGTGGGCAAACTTTTTAGCTCACAGGCCAAAATTAAGTTAAACATTTGAGACTTCCAGATCAGTATTGGTTGATGTAGAATGTTTGGGTGAAATAATATAAATGTAATGTACAAGATAAGATCTAAACCTTCAAAGAAAATTGACCACATTTGTTGTCTGCCCCTATCTAGTGGCAGTAACTGAAATTACATCAATTCATTGCAATGCATACAACAAAATATATTAAATCAGTCTTTACCATATGTTGTACCAGTGTTTGGCTGGCCGGATTAGAAAGGCCAGCAGGCTGTATTTAACCCACGGGATGTCGTTTTCCCAGATGTGTTCTACTTAAAAGTGGATTTAATGCTATCAACTGACCTGAAAACGCATTCACTCTGTTATCGATCATACACGTCATAACAGAGACAATGATTTTGTCAGGTCAGTTGAGAACATTTAATCCACTTTTAACTGGACCAGTTTACCACTCTACCACTTTTATCTGTAAATAACATTGTTTTTAAAATTGTTAATACATTTATTTTTAGGATTGTGTTGATAGATGAATTCAACACAGACCCTGACATATTTGTGTTCCTGTTGTCTACACGGGCTGGAGGCCTTGGCATCAATCTTACCTCAGCTAATGTTGTCATTCTACATGACATTGACTGCAATCCCTATAATGACAAACAGGCTGAGGATAGGTGTCACCGTGTCGGCCAGTCCAGGTTAGATGGAAATTTGATATTAAATTGTTTTCATATTCATCTAAACTTGTGGTGAGAAAATCCTGGTATTTAACCCTAGTTAAATAATTATAATGTGTTTCTAATCTGTTAGAACTGTCAAGGTATTCAAATTGATCAGTAAGGACAGCATAGAGGATGGCATACTGCAGCTGGGACAGAAGAAGCTGAAGCTGGAAAAGGACATGACGGCCGCAGATAAAGGTGAGAAGATGTACATTCACTTCTATTGTGTTGCTGAGTGGTTGAGAAAGTAGATCAGACAATAAATAGTCTTTAACCTAATATTAACATGCAGCACTGTTTATTCAGATTAAAAAAACTAGAGGGATTTTGACAAATAAAATGTATATGAGGTCATTTACGATTCTTTGTTGACATATGTCTTACAAAGAGATTTGAAAGCAATGACCTGGTTTGATTAGAATGTTTTGAAGCCTTAGGGCATCATCTTGCAGTTCACTGTCCCTGTGGACTGTAGCGTAAAGGAAATGACACAAAGTTATACATGAAGAAAAGATATCAAGTTAAATTTCTTTATACCATTTATATCCAACTTTAATCTTCTTTTAAGTACATGTAACAATAATTATCATTATTAAGCATGATGAACAACGTTGCTATATGTGAAATAGAAAATGTGTATACTGTAACAGAGGGAAATAACAGCAGGTAGGTGTTTCACAGGTGTTTCACACCTGTTTTTATTTGTTACTATTTTAAATCCATCCATCCATCCATCAATCAATCATCAACCATCAACCGCTTATCCGGGTCGCGGGGTCAACAGTCTGAGCAGGGACACCCAGACTTCCCTCTCCCTTGACACTTCCTCCAGCTCTTCTGGGGGGACCCCAAGGCGTTCCCAGGCCAACCTAGCGACGTAGTCGCTCCAGCGTGTCCTAGGTCTTCCCCTAGGTCTCCCAGAGGGACGGCACCCAAGCACCTCCCAAGGGAGGCATCCGGGGGGCATGCGATGTAAATGCCCAAGCCACCTCAGCTGACTCCTCTCGATGTGGAGGAGCAGTGGCTCTACTTCAAGCTCCTCTTGTGTGACAGAGCTCCTCACCCTATCTCTAAGGGAGCGCTCTGCCACCCTGCGGAGAAAGCTCATTTCAGCCGCTTGTATCCGGGATCTCGTTCTTTCG